AATGACTTACTGCCACCCCTCTAGCAGAACATATCTTCCTCTCACTGTTCTAGCAGAGTTTTCTCTAAGCAGTTGGAGTGGGAGGATATGGCTCTGTCCTCACTGATCCTTATTAATCAAAACTGAGAACAGTAAATTTGTTTCCATTCGTTGTTATCTTTACCTCCCTCCCTGCTTCCAACACCACTCAAAGGCAACACGGGCCAAGTTCACAGACAGTGTTCTGACAGGTGGCTCCACACAGGTCACATAATTCAGATTGAATGAGTCATGATCCTGAAAGCCCACAGTGAGAACATGTCAGCTCACTAAATGTGCTCTAAAGGCAAATTCATGTGATTCTGTAGCTTAGCAGAAAGAATAAAGTGCTTCAATCTTAAAAAAAAAAAAAAAAAAGAATAAATGAGTGAATGACAGTAGGATTTTCAGAGTCAATATAGACACWCTTTAGAAGCATCTTGCAATGACCCTGAGAATAAAACAAGCCATAGATACTAGGGAACATGGAGCAAAGGGAAGATTTTTATTTAAAATGGAGATATTCTAGCATATTTTATGTTTAAGAGGATACTTCAATAGAGAATAATAACTTGGTGTCTCCTGGGAAACAGGCCTGGATTTCTGAAGTTGAACAGATGAGGAGTAGGTTCCGTACCAGGTAGACCACTCTTGGAATCAGAGGGAAAGTTCTAGAGAGAAGGTAGACAGAAATGCAAGATTCAAGCATGGTGGAATTTGATGGTAAAAGGGTATGGTAGTTCTGTCAATAGGGTTTATTTTTCTCAGTGAAATAAGTAGGTCATTTAATTAATAGGACAAGGAATATTAGATGTTCAAGTGGGGAGAAGGAAACTGTTGTCATAAAGACTGGGAAAGTGACTCCACTGGKAAGCCTTAGACGATGGCAGGACTAATACAAGAGCTTTGCCCATTTGAGGCTTGAGATTAGTCAGGTATCTGTTTCCCTCCACCAYGTACTTTTCTTGTTCTTCACAGAATGTTAGGCATTCTTACTACCTCATGGTACAGACAAAGAAACTAAAACAGTGAAGTGATGTACTCTGCCCATGTTTACACAGGATGGATAAAGTGGCTATTCCTGCCACCCTGGCCCCCAGCACTGAGGTACAGCAGTTCAGGTCTCCCCAAGTCAGCAGGCTTCAGGAGGCATCAGAGCACAGAGCAGAGGGAAAGAGCTTTGAAATCCCAGCCACTTGTCTATTTCYCACAGCTCAGTAGTTCAACTTGGTCACTTTTGTATGTACTTCATAATTTAAATTAAGACAAGGAACTCACTGCAGCATGTTTTTTAAAACAAAAAAAAAAAACATTTGTATTTAAAATAATGATGCCTTATTTCTCTGCCTTTATTGGGAAGGAGAAAAAATGTTCCTTAATAAACATCCCGAAACAGGATTTTATAACCTTTCTGTGGCAATATTTCCTAAAATGTTTTCTGAAGGTATAATATAACATGTCTCAAAAAGATTATACTTTGAGGCTGTAATACAGCACTATAATACTATGGAAAATATTATGACATTCTCCCTTCACTTGAGATTCTTAGAATTTTTAATAGCCCTACATGGTGTTAATATACTTTTGACTATGCATGAAATGTTTCCAGAACATTGCTAATGATTTAGCTGCCTTCTTCCACATACCAAACAATTAATGTTTAGTTTAAATTCCAGCAACTGCCTTCTTTCTTCCTGTTCCCAATTCATTGCTATAACTTTAAAAGAACTAGAAAATAATGCATGAGCTTACATATAGGAGTTATGAAGCAGCCAGAGATTATAAAAGAAATAAATATGCTTTTAGTAACCCCCAAATAAAATTATCTGTTAAATCTCCTAACTTGATGACTRATGCTTCCAGAAGTCTGATCTGGGTATTTGTATAATAGATTAACCATATTAAACAAATGTTACCTGGTTRAAGACCATAAATGTCTTACTTTTAAGAAACTGGAAAGAATGATTTGTAAAATTGAAAACCTTCTTTCTCCTAATCCAGGTTAGTCCATGTTCTCCTGCCCAGTTCAGCAGGATCAAGACAGTGTGTATAAAGACATAGAAGTCTGTGGGAGATGGGCTTTATGACCTTTGACACCTTCTCCTGACTCCCATTGTCCCCCATAGTGGCTCTATCATTTTATAGGCTCAGAGTTGCTGAAGAAAAAGTCCCTTGAAGTAAATCACAACTAAGAGTTTAGAGGAAGAATTTACCTGACAAGAGACACTCGGTTCTCTTTACAGTACCATTGCATGGAAGTAGAATGTGACCTGTCTGTATATTTTTTTTTCTACTAGCCACAATTTTTAAAGTAAAAAGAAACAGGTGAGATTTATTTTAGTAATATAATTTATTCTGCCAATGTTTCTTGCATATAAAAACCCCTGAAGGGCTGGGGTTGTGGCTCAGTGGCAAAGTGCTTGCCTTGCACATATGAGGCACTGGGTTCCATCCTCAGCACCACATAAAAATAAATAAACAAAATAAAGATATTGTGTCCATGTATAACTAAAACAATTTTTAAAAGCATTTTTAATAAGATAGTTCACATTGTTTTTTCATATTAAGCCCATCTCAGTCAAGCCAAGCCATGATTCAAGCCCAGATTTTAAAATTGCTGGACATGTGACAGAGTCACTCCTTTGGGCAGAGTTATTCTCAAACTTCAAATGTACTTCTTTTTGATAGGATAAAATTGTGTCTTGGATTTGATTCTGATTGATACTATCATTGATGATACATTTTTGTTAGTTAACTGTTTAAATAACACACTCTTCCTTTTTCAAAGAGTTTCTCATGAATTGTCTTTGTGATTCTGCATAAGCTTCACTCTTGTTACATTTCTTAATATCACCAGTCTTTATTTTTATTGTGGATCAAAGGCTAGCCTTCCAGCTCTCTCCACCTATCTGAGCTTCACATTTCATCCACAGAGTGGTATTTTTCTGTTGTTTTGTTGTTGTTGTTGTTTGTTGATTGTTTTTATTTATTTWKTTTGTTTGTTTGTTTGTTTGAGACAGGATCTTACCACATTGCAGCGGCTGGCCTTGAACTTGCAATCTTCCTGTTGTGGCCTCCCCAGTAGCTGGGATTACAGGCATGCACCACTGCACCCAGCCACAGAGTAGAATTTCTAAAAAGTAATTAATCATTGCCCAACTACTTAAGGATTATAGAAAAAATATGAAGCCTTTCATGATTTGACCTCTTTCTACCTTGTTTCCTTTCCTTCCACTTTCACTTTTTATACTTCATTCTAAAATTTGCAGATTTCATGAGTTCTCTGAATACAATATGCAGTTTTAGACGTCATACCTTAAAACATGTTGCTCCTTCTACCTGAAATTATCTTTCCCCTTCACCTACCAGGTGAATTACTGCTCACAGCTGAACCTCAACTTTTAGTCCAGTACATTCTGAATAAATTTATTGACCTGACACTAGCTGCTTAATAGAGTGTATTTTCTTATCCTGTGTCACCATCTTTGTGTCCTGTGACACAAAACACAGGATCTGACAGTAAAATACATGAGACTTTTTTTTATTGTCAATTTAACCTAAATGTAATAAGATCTTTAAGTAGATTCATTAATTATTAACAGAAAAAAATGCTAAAATGAAACAATAAGCATTCCTCTTCTTTTTTAATATTAAAATATTGTAGAATTCTATTTTCACTGTTTTTAATGTCAAGATTGAAAGACTGTCAGTATTTTTATTCTATTTTAATATGCCTCATGTATGACTCATGTCCCCTCAATCAACCTACCCACAATACAACTGAAAGTAAGTACTTGATGGAAATAGTTTAAAACACAAACAAAATTCTTTTATTAGAAGAGCTAACATGTCTCAAAAACCCTACTTCACATTCTGGCAAGTTTTGATAAAATTACACTCACTCTATGCCATTTATCTCAAGATATAAACCAAGATTTTAACAAAATATCAAAATAAAGTATTCAGCTTATTCCACACAAATATTCTAGTTTAATATTCATATGAAACAAACAGAAATAAAATTTTCTGTTAACAAGAATCATCTTTCCTGAGATAGCACAGTTACTTGCTATATAAACAATTACTATCAGACATAAGAGTCTCTTTTGTTTTAAGCATTAGGTACCAGCATTAAGTCAAGGATATTTCTTGAGGCTTGTAAAAAATCTAGTTTTACAGCTTCCCAGGAGATCCAACATCTCTTGAGAAGAAAGAAAAAACATAATGTAATCAAAAGAAGCTCTTCTTCCCTCTGTCCAGATGTCCCAGTCAATAAAAATGGATCCTAGGAAATTCCACTAATCCTGGAACACTGTCCATAAAAGACAGGGGTGGAGCTCCACATCCCCCTTCCTGTTTCTTGTGGTCCTCTTGGGGTAGGAAAATAAAAGCCAATTGAGAGTATTTATGGGGGGGAGGGAAGAACAATGAAAGAGGGGAATTGGATGTAAGAATAGAGGCAGGAAGAAAAGAAAAATGGATAGCTAATAGCACTCCTCAATTAGACTCCATCTAGTACACACTAGTCCTTGAATTGCTTTGGCTCATGTAAAGGTTCAGGACTAGAGAAGCACAGTTTGTTCCAAGTCGTGAGTTTCTTTCTAAGTCATATCCAGTGTTTGGATGCCAGATCGTGTTTACCAAGCACCTGAACAAATATGTTGACTGCCAGTGATCTTTTCTGTTTTCTAAAATTGAGTTTCTCAACACAGAGCTTTGCTTTTTAAGTAAATCTTCATTACGCAGAAAGGGTATGTGAGTGAAAGGGTTCTATGCAGGATCTAAAAACATTGCACTTCCTTTGTTATGGTTTTGAAACTCCCCTTTGAGTCACTTAGTTGCTCAATGCTGAAGRGCACTTAAGTATAATTACTGTGATAGTAAACAGACTATCCAGCCAGATGCATCGGCAAAACACAGCCTTCCTTTTATAACTACATGTACAGGTTTATTTTAATTGTTTGATTTGGGTTTTTCCACAGCTATTAATATCACTCAGCCCAGCTTCAGTGGCACGGATGCCTTTGGATACACTTCATTCCTGGCTTATTCACGGGTTTCAGACATCAGCTTCAGTTATGAATTCCACTTGAAGTTTCAGCTGGCAAACAACCACTCAGCACTGCAAAACAATTTGATATTTTATACTGGACAAAAAGGCCATGGTAAGATTAAGTGACCTCTGTAGGACTTGCCTCTCTCCTTGGAGAATACTTTAAATATTCTTCAGGGWCACTCTCGTTGGCCATGGATGAAGACATTTGCCTAGCTGCAGCCTCCTCCTGTTTTCTAGCATGTTCCTTATAGTCTGAAGCATTCAGTGGTTCTCTGACCCTTTCTGAATTCCTGGTTCACACTAGAGCCAAACATGAAGACAGAGGCAGTGACCAAATCACAGGGGAAGTAAGTTTATTGACTTGTTCTTTTCTCTGTTTCTATTTCCATAAATGAGGAGAAAGAAGGGAAGTTCTCAGAAAGAACATGGCTTTACAGCATGTTGTGAAAAGAGAATGGGTTGAATATCCTCAGAGAAAACCTTTACAAATGAAAGGGACAAGAAATTAAGAAAGCACTTGACCTGTCACAAAGTATTCCAGTGCCTTACCATTGGTGGGAAATCAACTTAGAAGTTTAATTTGTCTTTCTTAAGTAGAAAACAGTTTTACATGTGTTAGGTCAAGGAAATTCACATTTGTTTTATTTTCAAATCTGCAACTAAGAGTAAAGCAATTAATCATTTACCTTCTCAGATGTTTTCATCTGTGAAATCAGCATATTATACCAAAAAAAAAGAACTTTCAACCATTAGTGCTTCTATTTTACTAGGGAAAATAATACAGTCTGATTTTGATTTGYTTTTAACTCACTATCTCCTGATACCAAATATGCTTTTCTGGATTAGCACATGTTTGAAAAGAGCCAAATTCTCAGTGTAGGTTATCAGCTCCCACCACATCTRAGGATGCAGAACACTTTCCCAATGTTATCCTGAACCCTAATGAGCCCTCTTAACTGGTTTCCTGCCTGCGGTGCATTCTCCACATTGTAGTAGGAATTACCTCCTAAAAAGTTTATGAGATTATGTTGGAATCCTGTTTAAAACACACCTGTGGCATTTCACTATGCTTAGAATAAAATCCAAGACTTCCTACCATATTCTCAAAGGGCCTTTAGGAGCAGACCCTGGTCTGGTTCTCAGAATATACCAGGCCACTTGCATCATCTCTCTGCTCCCCACTACATGTCCTCTTCCTGTGCCTTGGCCATCTAATGCCTTCCTGCCTTAGAGGCTTCCTGCCAGCTATTTGCTCTGTCTTGACAGTGGGCTCCACAGCCTGGCAGTGCAAACCTGTATCCAGTCTCCACCACTTATAAATTATGTCAATTGGTTTGATGTCCTAGTGCCTCAGTTTTCTGACCTGCTACTCGGGTAAAATAAAATTAATTCCCTAATAGAACTGAGAAGATTATGGGCTGGAGTTGTGGTTCAGTGGTAGAATGCTCGCCTAGCATGTGCAAGGCCCTGGGTTCCATCCTCAGCACCACATATCAATAAAGGTATTCTGTGCAACTACAACTAAAATAAATAAATAAACATTTTTTAAAAATTGAGAAGATTAGCAGATTAATACATGAGAAGCACTTAAAATAATATTGGACACAAAAGACACGGCAGCTTGACTTTTCTCTGGAAGGTTTTCTCCACCCATCTTACAAAATAGTCCTTATCCTACAAGTCAAAGTTATTTCCTATTTCCTACCTCAGCTTTTTACTTGTTTCTTTCATAAATCTCATCTCAATTTGTATTTCTTTTGTTATTTTTTATATAGTTGTTTCTTATCTTCACTACCAGAAGGGGAGTTCCATATAAATAGAGACTAAGTCAGTCTTACACAACTTCATATCCCCACACTTCAGCACAATACCTGGAACATAATTCATATTGAACAAAAGAATCAAAGAAACACAATAAGAACAAATAAAATTGAATGATATATAAGCCAACACACAGTTGCACAAAGGCTCTCAAAGAAAAGCCATTCTTGGGGGCTTCCAGTTCAAATGACATGTCCTCCGTTAGGATTTCCTGAATGGCTGTGGTCCTCTCACTCCTCTGGTGAAGCCTTCCTCCTTCTGAACATAGTTTGTCCTGTATTTAGTGCATGAACCCTTTGTAACAGGCTACAAAGTTATAAATTTCTTTCCTCATTTATACAAAATGTATCCCACCTAGGACTATATCACCCACAAAAACTCTTTGGTGCAATTTTAACAAGTATCTATTTAATGACTGTCAGGAGACAGGAAGTAGAGAAGAGAAAGAAAGAATTCCTACCTTTAACCCTTTTACTCTACACGCCCTTCATTCTATATGTATCAGCAGTATCCTTCCTAGTAGCTAAAAACTATCAAATAAAAAATTCAAATAAGCATCAAAGAYTCTGGGGATGCCTTGTTCTAAAATAGATCTCCTAAATCCTTAAGGATACTCAGAGGGAGAACCCAAGCAAAGGATAAACACTTGACCAATGAAAATACTGCCACCAGATAAATATTTTGGCATCTTCAGCTAAAGACTCYTTCAAAGTTCTCAAAATAAAGCAAAAATCTGCATTTTATAGGTTTAGAGCAGGGTTAAGTAAAGACTACATAACAAGCAGACACAGTGAACTTCCATTTTCTAATCAGTAAAAATGAGAAATCTAAGGCACACAGTTCCACATTGTACCACCTGAGGGCACAAGAACACCACGAAGAAGAAATGCAGGCTGCAGAGAGCTTTGTAAGACAGTGTTCCTCCAAGTAGGACCTCTGAACACCTGTGTCAGAATCACAGTGGGGTGCTCATTCAAACACTAAATTCAAGCCCCTCTTGAACCAAAAAGCTTTGAGTTTCACCCAGCTTTTTTTTTTTTTTTTTTTTTTTTTTGCAACTAATAATATTTGAGTATGACCACTCAAAACCTTTTGGAACCAGCTAAATTAGGCCACAAATGGGAACGCACTAAGGTAATTATTGCCCATCATATCTTATATAGAAATAATGCATCAATTTATGTAGTATAAGGTTATGAATTGAAAAAAATCATATTCCTTTAAAATATCATGACTAATATTAGCCATTAATTTGCAATTGTCTGTTCTGTTTAAAAAATGATGATCCAAGTCAGTATTTTTAACAGTGATATCTTCATATTTAGGTGTTATTGTTCAGTAATAATAGATTTATTACTACTGAAATCACCATTCCATAGGCTTCCTTTCTTTCTGTGGTAAAGAGAAAGAGCAGAAGTCCACTATATATACAACAATGTAAAATGTAAGGCAACTTTAATTTCTGATAAAACCTATAAAAATACAAGGGTCCTTAATTTTCCAACACTGATGATACTCTTTCCTGAGTCCCCCCAAAGCTGAACATTGATTGTGTCAATTTTCATCCTCATGAACTCTCTGGACAAACTATGCTTTCAAAAATTTTTAGCTTGAAAACATCTCTCCTACTTAACCTAATCCTCTTTCTATGATTCTGAAGTCTGATTTGGCATTCTTTATCTTCTCCTCCCTTTCTATCCCCTACTTCCTTATAATGTATGTCTTAGAGTTTGGCTCTTCTAGAAATAACAAGTATGTCCCACGATGGTCCACAGATGAACACATTGTCTTCCCTTCCTACCTCTCTTCTGTTTGTGAYTGGCATGCAACCATTTTGCTACCCTGGGAAATGCAGGAGCTCCCTGAACTTTTCCCTCTTAGCACCTATGTCAGAATTACATTAGGGTGCTTGTTAAAACACTAATAGGCCTGCCTGAATTAAAAAAAAAAATGTGTTCATTTTGACAAATACTTACCGGATACCTAGATACAAAGCCTTCTTCTATGGGCTGGAGGCACACTTACGAACAGGACAAAGTCCCTGTTTTTTCTATTTAATCCCCCATACTCAAACACCAAGGTCTGTCCATTTTATCATGTTACTTTTTGTATTTTCTCCTTGTACCTTCATTGCTCCTGGATTATCTGCCACAAATGGTTGCAACAGCAATCACTTCCTTTCCAGTTTCCCTGCTTAGACATGCCACTAATCCMCTCTATCCTCTATCCTATTACTACTGGAGATATTTTTAACAAGTCGGAACACATCTTTCCAATCAACCTGGATCATAACACATCACCTAAGCTCTTTGGTAATAAAGATGTCTATCCAGCACCTGTCCATTTGCACCATCTCTTCTTCCTCCATTCACCCGTCACTCACCAGTATTGGCACATGGGCACATCCTGGATCCTGTCACTTTGTCCTCCATGTCTGTGTTTTGTATAGGCAGTTCCAACCTCCTGAGCCTCCCACACATCTTTTGTGTATCTCCAAAACACTTCTACCCTCAGCTCAAAGGATCGTTCTTTTTTTTTTTTTTTTTGAAGTCTTTCACAATTCCAAGAATTAATTCCATAATAATTGGCTGATAACAATAATATCTTATTGTACTATTTGTCTGGATCTAAAAAACAGAACCATTGTTTTCCTTCTTCATATCAATGGTGATTATCACATATAGACTACAGTTTTTGAAATAATAATAAAAACAAAAACTCATGGTCCTCGTCACAATAAAACTTAACATTGGTTTAGGGAGGGAAGATATATGTTTTTAAAATCTTGTTAACACGACATGTCAAGAACCATGTCGTGCACACACAGCATCTAGCATAACATGTAACACATTAGAAACATAAAAATCATTGTGTGAAAAGAAGGACCCAAATGAAGGAAAGGGTGGAATTTGCAAAGTAGAAATCTCATGCAGCAAGAAAGTCAGGGGATAGGCTCCCTGGATTGTGTTTCTCAGTCGTTCCCTCCCATTTCAATCAGCAGTCTACAATTAGTGCTACAGCAGTCCCACTACCATTCCCAGTTCAATTCTTTCCCATTCCAGGCCCCACTCTTGSCCAGCCCAGCAGCCAGATCCTTCCATGTGAAATCTATCATCCCACCTTCAGAGCTTCCTCTTGCTGGGATTGCCTGCACTAGAGCTCTTCACCTCTCCCAATACAATCCATCCACACAATGTTCTCTGATAAATTCAGGCCCCCTTATATACTTCACAAAGAATACTTGCCTGGGTAGTACTTTGTAGTTTACACCCCATCATTTGAGATCTG